TTAAGTTTTACATTTTAAATAATTATGATTTTATAGCGTTTTAAAGTTATTAAAGTTATTAAATGAAATGAATTTTGATGAATTGACTAATATACTTAATAAAATAATAATTTTAATGGAAAACATGGAAAGTAATTCATTTTAATTTCAACTGAAGTGTGTTGTCCAAAAACAATTAGTTCATTTATTTTAAATGTGTTTAATCTAGAATATATCGACTGTGTGCATTAATGCACTTGGAATGTGTTTTTCCAATAAATTTGCAATACAGTATAATCCAGGACAACTTATTGTTGACATTTTTGTCAGTTTTCTACATAATATATGACAAAAAAAAATGTAATTTATGAGAGGAGTCTTAGCATAACAGTAATGTGTGGTACTTTACGTGAGAAAGTCAATTAAACACATAATTGCAATCTACACTGAACAAAAATATTGACTTTTAGTTGGTTGAAAGAGTAGCGTTTTGTGAACTTACAGAGTATAACAACACAAAGAGTTAGAACAACTTCAACTTAAACAGAAAAGTTGAAATAAAAATATACTGTATATGTTCAAGGTGTTTAATGCGCATGCGCCAGACATCATGATGACGCACTACTTCCCTAGAGTTTGAAAAATGCGCTGTTGTGTTTCTGTAATCGCGATGCATGAGGAAATGAAAACAACAAGAGAACAAAAGGAGCGCTCCACATTTGGCTGTTTGCAGATGAGATGTTATGCTGCAAATAATTAGTCAAGTAAGTATATCTTGATGCTTTCCTTATTGATTTATTTTCCCCCGCAGTTGATATTGCGATGAGTGCTTTTTAATCGCAGATAGTAACGTTGCTATGCGCAATATAGATTCGGGAGCTAAATTGATCATGTTTCCAATAATTTATGTGTGACGCTGATGAGGTAATTCATCACATCACACATTCATCAACAGTTCATTTATGTTAAACTATTTTTGGAAAATCTTGGATTGTTGTCTTTTTGGATGTCATGTTATTGTTTGTATGTTTGTATAATGTCTAATAAAAAAATAAAATAAAAAAAAACATTCATCAACAGTTAGCAGTCAAAAGTTTACGTACACCTTGCAGAATAAACTAAACTGCTTCATCAGGGTAGTACTAAACAAAAAGACAACATATACATTTTTGTGTTCCCTCTTATTGCTAAAATTACTAACATTTTGCACATAATGCAAGGTGTATGTAAAACTTTAAAGGGAAAATATCTATCACTTTCATTCATTTGAGCCAAATTTAATAATGGACTGGATCTGTTTTATAAACAAATTTTTTCACTTTTTTTTCTCAAGGTATTTTTTCCTGACTTTCCTGCCTCTTTGGAACAAATCCATTCACATTTACTTTGGAGAGCACCGGGACATTGACATAAACAGGACTTTCCAACTACTTCAAAACATTTGGTGACAAATGATTTTGGTTTTCTTGTTTTTTTGCCTTTGGATTTCTTCATTTTTATTTTATTTTTGTTTTTTAGACAAAATTATATTCACTGTAATGCTGAAGTAAGCATTTTGTCCTCTTTAATGTTGGTGCTACGAAAAGGTTTAAAAGCTAAAATTAACCAGGTTTGTTAACACTTTAATTAGGTCTCATTTGTTAATATTAGTTCATGTATTAGCAAAACATGATCTAAAAAATGAGCATTTTTTACAGTATTTATTAATCTTTTTTAGGATTAGTTAATTCAAATATAGTTTGTTAAAGTTAGAACAATTTATAGTTATTGTTCATACAAGTTCACAGTGCATTATAATTTTAGTACACAACTTTTGAATATAATAATGCATTATTAAATGTTGAAATTAACATTAACTAAGGCTAACAAATGCTTCAAGTATTATTAATTCTTAGTTCATGTTAACTGAAGGAGTTAACTAATAATACCTTTTTCATTACCCGTTTGAATCTTAGTGTTCACATTTTGCAGTATAACATCACATTTTGTTTGTATTAATTCATGGGTTGTGTATTTGATGTAATGTGTGATTGCTTCTAAAATGATGTTTGTACTGGTAATCCCTAGGTTATGGAGACCAAATTACCCCAAAAGTATAGTAATACCAGTAATTTACATGGAAACAATCTTATAAATCATACAGAATTATGTTTTCTGAAAATGTCTAAAATTCTGTCATCATATACTCACCCTCAACTTACATTTAAGTGATCTTATGAATAGGGATGGGTATCGTTAAGGTTTTATCGGTATTACTACTCTTACCGATACCGCTTATCGATCCGGTACTTTAACGGTATTCTTATCGGTTCTTTTTTTTTTGTTTTTTTTTAAGAATTAAGAACATAATTAAACTCTATATTTTGAAATGTAAAATAGAAAAAGCAAAACGAAGAAAAATATATTTTTGTTATGCAGCAATGTGCAGGCTTTTTTGTTTTATATACAAAAAGGACAAACACAAGAATGCAATTAATCAAAGATACAAATTATATACAAAGTGCTTTAATTTCAGGAAGGTGTACTAACATATCTTTTCAGGTAATTGTTTCTGTCTGAAAAAAAACCTAATTTAGTAATCAAATATAAAATAGCACTGTATAGTTTATCATAGATAGATTAATGCTTATTAAATCTAAAGTTACTCATTCAAAAGCTGTGGGTAATTTTCTCTGCCTTTTGTTGTTTGATTTGCATTAATGGCTGAATCGTCAGCACGTTTAGGTTATTAGACTGCTGCCCCTTTAAGACCGAGAGCAAATCTAATAGGTAACTGAAGCACCATCATTTTCTCCCTATTATTTACGTCCATTTAAGACATAATTGTGTTTAAGTGAATAAACTGTGTTTAAGTGAATCTCAGAGCTTTTTGACATTTTTATGTATATTTGATAGTTAAGGACACACGAAGCCCAAAGTATAGGCTACTTTCTTGTCTCGTTGCAGTCCGTTTCGGAGCGCACACCGCCTTGTGAACAGCGTCTCTTGCGCAGGCTTTTGTGTTTTTAATAGCCATTTTTTGATCTTGCAACAGTAGAAGACAGCATTTTGCAACAATCGCCGATCGTGCTGATTCTGACGGTACGTTTGGGTTTTAGGAAGAACTGACAGCGCTCCGCAGTGCTGTGAAGTAGGCTAAAGGACGTTAAGCTGGACAGATCATGCGTCTTGATTTTTAACGGTTTTATCTCAAATATCTTCTTTTTATAATCTTTGGAAGCCGAAATACAAAATATATTAGAATAATATCCCACATCTAAAGTGTAACCACGTTGAATGTTTAGTTCTGTCCTCATTGTCACTCATTCAGCAAAGGCTGTCGTGTTGCGCGTGCTGTGGCTTTGCGTGAGAGATCGCTCTCTCTCTTTTCTGAACTGCGAATTTCAAATTTGCATCACAGACAAATGGTTTAATTAAAATACAGTTTATATATAGAAAAGGCTGGCGATATAAACATGTTCAAGATAACGTCTTTATAGGAATGATAAATAATTTCTCCAGTACCGACAGCAGAACCGATAACGTCCGAGCTTATCGATACAGCGGTCTTTCAAAATTCAGTACCGGGGCCCGTTTAATACCGGGTTTCGGTACCCATCCCTACTTATGAATCACTGACAACTCTTACATAACTGGTTTGTAAATAATGCTATACTTCATTAAGAAATTATTAATTGATCATTAACAAAGTATGAAAATACAATTATTAAACACATTATAGATATGCTTATAAATCAAGAAAAAAACATTTATTGGTGTATTTATAAACTTATTATTAATGTCTATTAATGCTTTAAATGATTAACTGTTAACTCGCTTATAATGAATAATAGTGTGCAGTTAAGTGTTACCTTTCTTTCTTCTGCTGAACACAACGAAGATATTTTGAAAAATGTCAGTAACCAAATAGTTAACTGGTCCCATTGACTTCCATAGTAGGAAACAAAATACCATGGAAGTCAATGGGACCAGTTAACTATTTGGTTACTGACATTTTTCAAAATATCTTCATTGTGTTCAGCAGAAGAAAAATTCATACAGGTTTGAAACAACTTGAAGGTGCGTATAATGACAGAATTTTCATTTTAAGTGTTGTAACCGTTTGTTTCTTGGGTTTTTTCTTGTGCATCAACAGAAAGGTTTTTATGTATTTATTTTAGAGATTGTTTTGTCAGTAAATATAGAGGGTTTTAAATTGAATTTGTGTTGATTGTAACTATATAGGTTATTAAGACTTTTTTTGTCCAAATTTGAAATAAATTGCAACTATATTTTTTTTAATTAAAAAAATGTATTTAATGTAATAAACAAGTACACTATTATGTAATTAAAGTATTTTTTTGTTGACATTAATTGCTTGTCAGTATATTTGGAAGTACACTTTTACCATATTTCAAAAATAACTCTTAATATCAACTAATAGCATTTAATTTGAGCTTAATCTGTGATACATTTGAAATCAATTACATATAATATGCATTAAGTTTGTCGAAAACATTACACTTAATTCACACTTAAGTGTATTGTTGACTGACATTAAAGTATATTTTAGTTCACATTAATTGCATCATTATATTGTGTAGTGCACTTTAACTGTATTTTAAATACACTGGAAGCAATTGTGAGAGTGTATGTAAAGTTGTATTAAAGGCCATGGTGCAGGTTTTTTTTTTTTCTTTTTTGGCAATTTTCTAGTTGGTAATAAACATTTAAACAGTTATCCATTGTATCTGATGCTGTAGGTTACTTAAAACTTAAAATATAACACGGAAAAGTGGGTGATTTGTTAGCTTTTTGCTAAAGCTAAGCGAGGATTCTTATTTCTCCCACAATGCATTCCATGACGTCACATGAGGCACTCGCTGACTGTTGGACGACAGACGTAAGCCCGCGCCCGCTTTACCATTGAGGGAGAGTGATACGAGAAGTAGCTAGCTAGTGAGTGACAGTGACAGATTTATAAGTAAAGATAGATAGATAGATAACGATAGATAGATAACGATAGATATATAGATAGGTAGATAGATAGATAAGCATAGCATATAGTGAGATAGCATAGCATAACAGATAGCTTAGAGATAGATAAAGAGTAGGCCTTGGTCATAAATAAAGTTAGACAAAATGGTATATTACTGTGTTTGTGGCGGGTGCAAGAACTCCAGCAAAACTGGACATAGGGTCCATTCCTTCCCCAAGGACAAAGGAATTTTCCGAAGCTGGGTGCAATTTGTGAAGATTAGGCGGGCAGATTTTTCAGCTAGCTCTGTCACCGCCTACTCAAGAATATGCAGCGCGCATTTTAAAGAGGAGGATTACAACTCAGGGGACGCCAAGATGGTCTCACTTGGTTTAAAGAGTGAGAGGAGTGTTAAATTACTTCCTACCGCCGTGCCGTCGGTGAACCCAAGCCTCCCTGCTTGCCCTGTCCCGAGGTCGAGAGACACCGTCTGCCGCCGCAAGCGAGAAATTGCCACGGTAAGCATCATGCTAACGTTAATGTTTACAAGCTGCGTGTTAGCTAGCTTTGTGTGTATTTTGTACAAGTTACCGTTCTCCCTTTGACATAGCCTCCACTAATTTACAAGCATGATCACTCTGACATTAGAAGAGCATATTTGGTAATTCACGAATGAAAATTAGAATAAAATCAATATTGCCCTGAGGTAAAAGTCCATATCATGTGTGAGTGTTTGGATCAGATCAAGCGGCTTTCGCAATAGTGTGTTTGCGTTTTGTTTTTGACTGCTACGGTTCTCTTTCACTGTATATTTGACCGTGTCGCCAGGGCTGTAGTGAAGCATTTTTCTTACCTACTCGCACTGTTTTGATTTTGGTACGGCTGTGCCATAGGTTATTGTTTCCACTGGGAAACTAACGTTAGTTGTAGCACACACGTCCCATTTTATTGATGGACTTATGAAATGACTGGGAATATTAACTTATCGTCATGGAATTTCAAAGATATGTAAATAATTCTCAGTACTTCCAAGTTGAAAATAAATTATTAAATGTTTCATGTGCATCCAATGTGCTTGCAAATCACTTCTAAGTATACATAGTATGCCCACCTCTTATTTCACCACTACACACTGGCATTTTGCTGACCCTTTTTCATATTTGTTTTTGCAAGATGTTGATAGACGCCTCACAGCAGGAGACTTTGGACAGTGTAGACACTGTGGAGAGTGTCTATACTGGGGATCAGCCCTTGCCCTCCTCCACTTCTGACGCTGGGACACAGTGTTCTTTGAAGCCCCCCCGATGGTCTCACGGTAAAACTTGGGTATTTTAAGGGGTAGATATTATCATATAGTCTAAAACATTGCCAGTATCTATGCAATCAGAAAATTTCCATATACATTGATTAAATTAATACATAGCCTACACCAAAAAACATAGCAGTTTAGATTTGCCATGATTGTCACATATTTGGGTGTTTACTGCCTCTCCACAGCTGTGCAGGTTAACCTGAAGCCCAAGATGGTCAGCGTGGGCACACAGACATCATTCTGCCCACAAACCTCCACTCCCCTCGCTAGTCCTGAACAGACAGATGATGATGATAATGCCTCTGTCATCAGTGACTCATCGTGGGTGCCCGAAGAGCCGATGCATGAGGAGCATGAGGAGGACTTGTTGGATGAGCCACCTTACACGTGTGACCCCCACCACAAGTGAGATAATTTAAAACCAACATAGACTATTTTAAATGCTCATTTTTGTGTACTGTAGCTTTGTTAGTTTATATGATCCCCCCCCCCCCCAACAATTTTTTTTGTTGTTATAGTGGCATTGACAAATTCATTGTTTGCCGAGAGGAGCTTATGTGCCTTTTTGACATCTGTCCGGTCTGTTGTGAGAGGTCAGATAGGAGCATTGTGCAGCAGGAAGGAACTTTTCTAAAGATCAAGCAGGTACGGTTTTGTTTACACAGCAGGCCATTTGATTAGAAAATCAGAATATCTAATTGCAATCTGATAGCTCTGACTGTCTTGCCAGTTAATTTACAATGTATGTACCAGGCTGGCTTTAGTCTATTGGTTTGTGATGGAATCATATTTGAGTGTTATACTGTATTGGTTATGTGTGTTTCATTGAAAATATGAAATCTTTGACCAGTAATGTACAGTACTTAATCTATATTGAATTCTGATGTACTATTGATTACTTTTTTTTTTTTTTTTTTTTACACACTGTTAGACCTTACCAGGTTTTTTTTACAGTAAAATGCTGGCAACACTGTTGCCAGTTATTTACTGTAGAAATGCACTAAAACTCGAGTTAACTAAAAAAAAAATTAAAACTTATTAGCTTTAGTGCATTTTTACAGTAAATAACTGGCAACAGTGTTGCCAGTTATTTACTGTAAAAATGGACTAAAACTCGAGTTAACTAATTTCACTTGCAGAAACCAACTTAAAAGAATCAACAAAATGTATAATGCATTAATAATGTGAGCAAGGTATTATTGTGAACTTATTTAATTAGAAACAACAAAAATTAACTTTTGTAAATAAAGACATTTCCACCGGATTCTGCAACTAACACAGACAGTGCCTTTTAAATAAAGCAACATGCAGCGTATCATCAATGTTTGTAGATCTTCTCCTGGACTGAAGCACAGGCTCTACTTTTCAGCACAACGGTAACCCAAAAAACAAGATTTTACAGTAAACTACTGGCAACAGTGTTGCCAGTATAAACCTGTTTTATAACTTACAGTTTATTACTGTTAAAATACATTTTGTGGGAGTGTCTTTTTATCTTACACTGTTAACCCTTTCAACTCCACAGGAAAATCCACACTAAAAAAAGTAAAAAGTAACATTGATGCAGTGTTGCAGTGAGATAATTAAGGGAATATGTAAGTGATTGTTGAGCATGAACACCTGCTGTTAACAAGCAGAATCACCGAAGGAAAGAGGAACAACAAGAACAGAAAATAGAGAAACACAAGAACTACAACTGACTTCAGCCATTACACATTATTACACTTATTATTAATATGTATGGCTTTATTTCTGTCATACATCTATAGAAGATGTTGTTGAGATGTTTAATTAAAAATGTTTGGCTTGAAGTTACCATCATAGAGATCAGTGTTTGCTTTAGTTGGTCTGCTGACGCTGTAACATGAGATTTTCTTTAGACGCTGTGTTTAAGCAAGTCACACTTGTGCAGACATACAGTTTAGTAATGATTTGATTTGTCAAAATATGGCAATCATCATATGGTCTGTTCATTTACTAAATAATTCATTTTCACTCATTCAGAGTTTCAATCTGAATCTCAACCAAAAGTGTTACATTACCACCACCGTAAAACCACAGCAATTAATTACGACTATTTGTTTTTAACATATCATACATAAACCAAAAACAGCGTTACAGCGTTGTTGAAACACCAAGATATCAAAATTTAGCACATTAATCTCAGTAATGGTGGCAATTTCTTTTTTATTCATGCAGCAGTGCATGCTGGGAGTTTTATACAATCCTGGAACCCAGCATGCACTGCTGCATGAAACTTTCGAATGTTACCGTTGTTGAGATGAATATTATAATTGTTGATGTCTGTGTGTGTCTGACTTTAGCAGGATATTAATTAAACGTTTTATGTGATTACAATAGTATTCAGAAGACATGATTAACCAACATATTGATTTCATGTTGTAGATTCTCAGATTTATTTTATAATCATAACTTAATGTAAGTTTCATATTAAGTACCCATTTATTCTAAGAGTATAAACCAGAAAGATTTGAAAATCAGACATATCCAGAATGATCATGACATCATCACAAAAGCCAAAAACACCAGATCACTTTCCTCTTGACTTTTTCTTGCTACAACAAATGTGTTTTAAAACTCACTGTTACAGCAGTCAGAGAAAGATAAATGTCACAAGTCCAGGGATAAGAGACCTACTAAAGCAAATACTGATCTCCATTATGGTGACAAAAAACTTTACTATTAATTAAATCTCTGTTAATTCTCAACAAGAACTTTTGTACATGTATGAAATAAATAATGTTAAACTGGTTTGTAAACTGTTTTCACACTCAGTGTTGCTGGAAGTCAGTTGTAGATCTTGTGTTTCTCTTTTTCAGTTCTTGTTTCTCTGTCCTTCAGTGATTCTGCTTATCAGGTGTTCATCAGTGTCTCAATTCACTCACTTCTTTTCATTCAAGTGGACTATATTAGTGAACTAATGTAGGGAATAGTGAATGAGGGTATAGGGTGTGATTAGGAACACAGTCTCTGAGTGTTGACTTTGAGAGCTGTTAATTCACAGTATATTCCTGTAGGCTAGTTTTGTTTTCTACGGTATATTACTGTTTTAATGGAAAATGGTATGATAGTGTCAGAATTTGGCCTGTTGCCAGTATTTTACTGTAATAAACCTGGTAAGGTCTAACAGTGCATATCCAGGTCTGTGCATCATGTGGCTACCACCGATTCTGGCAAAACCAGCCAATGCTTCACAGGAACATGCCAACCTGCAACCTCCTGTTAAGCGGGGCCATTCATTTCACTGGATGTTTGGCCACCCAGACATTAAGGATGCTGACTCTGTTTGGCCTGCAGTGCATCAGTGCGAGCAGTTACTTTCGCCATCAGCGCTGCTACACCATCCCAGTAATTGTTCAGGCCTGGCAAAAAGATCAAGCACAGAGTTTCAGTGACCTACGGGCAATGGATGGTGGGCTAGTTCTTGCTGGTGACTGCAGGTAAACCAGTGTGAGCTCATAGCACATTTTGATTTTGTTATTTGTTATCCTGTAGGGTGGCTTTATTTGACATTTGCAGATGACATGGTGGATGATCTTTACAGACCTTGGTTATTAAAAACTTGAAACCAAATTTGAATTAGATTCGAATTTAAATTCAAATTTGTAATTAATTCCAGGTCAGATTCTCCTGGGCACTGTGCAAAGTATGGGTCCTACTCTCTGATCGAGGACAGAGTGAACAAGGTGGTGGATGTTCAGCTTGTTCAGGTAAACCTGATGTTATTAGACAAAGAAATGAACTCTGCAATTTAGTAAACTGATTCGGTTCATTCACGTCTCCTTCAACAACACCAGCATTCTACAGTACATTATACTGTTATGTCATATTGCAGAGCTCAGAGGTACCCAACAGCTCATGGTGTGAGCTTGAAGGGCTCAAGCGCAGTGTCAGCCTGCTGAGGGGAAAGGACCTGCATTTGGCAACGCTGATCACGGACCGTCATCGCCAGGTATTTACAATAAAAATGCAGTATAGAATGTAAATATCTGAATTGCACTGAAGCCGGATATTTGTGGTTTGCTGATGCACTGAGGGCCACACAGGTCAATCATCCACAAAGCTTGTTTATTTCTCCTTAGGTTGCCAAATGGGTGAGAGAGGAGCTGTGCCCTGAAGGGACACAGCATTATTTTGATGTGTGGCACATTGCCAAAAGTATGTATCCATTGTTGGAACCTTGAAGCAGTTTTTGTTAGTGCACATCAATTAATACCATTTGTTCTAAAACAGGTCTGGGGAAGGCCTTGGATGCAGCTTCAAAAGAGTGTGACCAACTACAGCTGTGGAGGCCAGCTATAGTGAATCACCTCTATTGGACTGCAGCCTCAACCCCAGACGGCAACCCAGCAGTCATGGAGGCTAAATGGAAAAGTTTAGTCAATCACATCCAAGACATCCATGACCATGACACCCCTGCCTTCTCCATTTGTGCCCATGGCCCTCTAGACGGGGATCAGCGCAACAAAGAGTGGCTGGACCCAGGTACAGCACACACAGCATGTGGTATTATGTACGCTCTACAGTTTTGTTGTATTTGCTGTCTGAGTGCTTTGACATGTGACCTATGATGATTAAGTTATTTTTTCATTCCCTGGCAATCTCATAACATTTTGTTTACTGTTTGTTTGCTATAATTCATATGCCGGACCATTTCATGTGTTTCCATTAAATTTTTTTTTTTTTTTTTTGGCTGAATCTATCTTGTTCTATTTGTCTATTTATACGTTTTCCATCTTTGTGTTTGTCTGTCTGCCTCCCTGTCTTGGTCTTTGCAGGCTCATTGGCAGCAGTAAAGTTAGAAAACATTATCACGAGGACTGTCTTACTGAAAGATGTTCGACAGCTGTCTCCACAGCACCAGACCTTCTCCCTTGAGGCTTACCACTCCCTCATCTTACACTTCGCGCCCAAGCACACAGGGTTTTCATACCTTGGGATGTATAGCAGGTCAGTACAGCAATAATAATTGGCTGTATGATTGGAATAATACAGCCAATTATTATGCCTTTTATAATAATAATAGTACCTATTATCATGCCTATTGTATGATTTTGTCATACATAAACCAAGTTTCAAAAAATTTCTCAAATGTGTTATTTTGTAGGCTTCTCTTAGCGGCACTGCATTATAATCACAATGCCAACCGGGAGACAGCACGGAGAAGTGATGGGACGGAGAAGTACTGCGTGCGGTATCCGCGCTTCAGAAAAGGTGCCCATGTGGTGCGTCCCATCAAAGAGGCAGCTTCATATGGTAAGCAGTGTCATGCAGTTCCATCATATTTTGAGATGGCTCACGAGACATCTGTGATCACTGGCAATGATCTTTATTAAGTATTATTATTATTATGATTATGACTGCAGGTTATGCAACGTCATTGATGAAGGCCCTTCAGGATAGCTACACCCATTCACCTGCAGCTCTTCGAGAGGTTAGCGCTAATTTGTCCTCTGATGCACCCGCCCCCATCGCCAAATCCTTTGAACAGGTTCCTAAGGAGGAGGCCGTCAGCCTCTTCCTAGCCCAGCAGTCACGCTACAAGAGAACCTAAATTCACATTTTTTTTTTTTTCCACAGACAATTCCAATGATTTAGTTGTAAGTATTTATTTTAGTTGTTAGTTATCTTCTTTCCTACTGTCCCTGTCATCTCATTTGGTGGTGGTTTCCTGTATTCTGCATGTTTTGTTTTTTTCTTTGTGCACTGTTGCTTTGGTTTTACTTTGCACTAAATCATTAAAAAAAATTTCATCTTTGTAAGTGGCAATAATTGTCGTTGTACCCCATTCACGGGGTCCTGCATGCTGCATGTCTGCTCCTCTGTCTGTTATTTGCATGAAATTTGTTGTATGTAATTCAAAATAATTTACCAATCATTTTAAATGTGCCTTGTCAACGTCTGTGTGCGGTGTTGTTGCTTGATGTGCTTTTGCATGCATCACTGCATATGCATTCATAAAAGTGTGTGTGTGTGTGTGTGTGTGTGTGTGTGTGTGTGTGTGTGTGTGTGTGTGTGTGTGTGTGTGTGTGTGAGAGAGAGAGTACGAGAACCATCAGTTGACCCTCAGGTAAGACCACACTTTTGCAGGCATCTGAGAAATATAGCCAAAAGTCAAACATTTTAATCCTTGGATGATGCTAAGCAACTCATATATATTTTATTATATCATCTTGATTACTGCAATGCTATGTACACTGGCCTACCGAAAAGTTCTTTAGCAAAGCTACAATTGGTACATAATGCTTCTGCTACAGTACTATTGAAATTAAAGCGTTGCATTCCATGTATGAAAATTGCTATACAAATAAATGTTTATTATTATTATTTATGAAAGGTATCAGGTCTAGCCCTTCATCAGTGGGCTTTTTTTATATAGTTTTACTTGCAACCTGTGTCTTTGTTCAGTAATCTTTGTCCTTGTTCAATAAATGTTTAGTAACCCTTATATACAAGCAATGCCAATAAACTGTTTTTACTTATTAAAATTCATGTGTACTGTGTACTTTATAACATTTTAAGGGCAATTGGGCGATCACAACAGAATATTTATTTATTAATATTTATTTACAGAATTATTTTTATTCATTCTCATTCAAACGAGGCCATTGAAAGCCCTGATAGGTCTGGTCACCACTTTGGAAATTTTGCCTTATGGTTGAAACCACACAAGAGGGTAGAGGCTTCCTTATACTCCTGCCTAAAACTCCATAAGCCCAGCGTATAACCTGCCTGTACGCAGTGTACCGGTATTGCCTAGGGATAAGTAGGAAAGATTTGTAAGTTTTAAACTCTGTAAGTAGGTTGGAAATGTCATTTGTGGTCTGTCTCTTATGCATGTTTGTGCATGCAACATTTCTCTTGTCACTTATAGCTGTTGTTCAAAGGACTCCCTGTAAAAAGATTGGTAAAGTAAACATAAACCATGAACATACTCGTGCGTGCTGGCTTGAAGGGGACCATGATCCTGCCTGAAGTGTGAATATGCTATTTGTAGCACAAACGGATACAGACAGCATGCCTCAAATCCAGGATGTTGCGTTAGGCACGTTACATCTGCTGGCCGCGGGGTGAGATCCTCGACCAGCGACCAAAACGCGCTCACCTCCCTACAACACAAGCTCTCCACCACAGTTTCCATGGGACGACAACGCCCACACAGACACCTGCCAAACACAGCGACACAGACGCTTACTACTCACTCCCTCTCCCGGTAAGCCTGACTGTGTCAATGACAATAAATCGCGAGGAAAACGAGTTGCCACTATCAATAATACCCGGCGTCGGCTATGGTGAAACAGCATTTTCACCGGAGAAAGAGGTAAAAGTTTAGAAATAAACACTAGAAGTTCACAGGTGGGACTGTCAAGCCTGCATTATATGCCTCTATTTATAGATCTTCTGACTAAATTTAGGGTAACGTTACTTTTCTGAGCCAACGACATAATCACTGTCACTAGATAAAAAGAAAACGTTGACTTTCAATCGATGCTATTCACTGACAGTAAAAAAAAAAATTAAGATGTTATTGTATGCACTGCTGTTCATTGACTACTAGCTCCAGCGGTCATTGCTGCGTTCTAAATGGTAGCAACTCACCAGGACACTACACCAACTCTCCATTCATTCTCCTCTGACCATGCATTTATTTGTCTTTGACGGCCATCGGCTCTCGGTATTTCCTCATTTGGCCTCTCACGTCTAAACGGTTCGAAATTGTATGGCTGTGGGCCATCATAAATGTTAACTTTGGGTCTTGCCACCTCTTCCTCATCCCAATTAGACGCCATAGTAGTCAGTGCCAGTCTGCTACTAGAATTAATTCAAGTAGCTGAGAACGGCTGAGGCTACATTCCACCGCGTCTGCCTCATGTGACGTCATCGCAGAGTTGCGTGAAAAATAACCGTCACTAACCAAAAACTTCAAAAACTAGACTTTAACACCATTTTGGAGACATTTCTAACTTTATATACATATCTTGACTGCTTTATCTACCCATTAATCGACAGTGGTGTTTAACCTGCACCATGGCCTTTAAAGTACCAATTAAGTTGTTCCAAAAAATCACTCTTAATGGCAACTTATTACACTTTATTTCAACTTAATATGTGATATATTTGAAATAAATTACACTTAATGTGCATTCAGTGCCCCGAAAAAATTGTATTTAATTCGCACTTAAGTGTATTGTTGACTGACTTCAAAGTATATTTTTAATCACATTAATTGTGTCATCATATTGTTTAGTGCACTTTAACTATAATTTAAATACACTAGAAGCAATTATGAAAGTATATATAAAGTTGTATTAAAGTACCAATTAAGTTGTTCCAAAAAATCACACTTGCTTGCAACTTATTACACTTTATTTCAACTTAATATGTGATATATTTGAAATAAATTACACTTAATGTGCATTCAGTACCCCCAAAAAATTGTTTTTAAATCGCACTTAAGTGTATTCATTTAAAGTGTATTATTTTTGTAATAAGTACACTTTATAAAAGTACACTAAAGTGCACTTTTTTTTCACAAGGGTTAGTTAACCGTGTGTGTCTGTCTTCAGTGTCTCGTGACATGCTTGCTCAGATTTGAGGTAGACATTTGACATTCTCCAACGGGGGTCCAGTTTCTAGATCAGGATGCTCTCTGCATAGAAGTCTCTCTCTTGCTCTCCTCGTCGTGCGCGCGATACGAAGTTGGGACTTTGAAACACATTCTCGCGTGCGCGCTCGCTCTAGATTCTGGGAGATTTGAACTAATTTGAGGTATAACTAGTCAATCACAAATGTGGCTCAACAAAGGTTAGATTTATAGATAAACTCATCTTTCAGGCATTTGACCGACGGGATTAACACTTCAGCGCGAGAAATCGGGGGTGTGTCGTGTGGGCGTGTGTGAGAGTTGGCAGCTCGGCTGCTCTCTCCCGCGCTCTAGTTGTCATGTATTTGTCTCTTGTTTTGTGTACAAACACATGGCCGGTTGTTTTGGGCTATGTGTTTGCATTGTCTTTTACCCACGTTTTCTTGTTAATGTTGTATCAGTGTCACCTGTGATAGTCATCATGTGTCCTTACCACACCCCTTGTTCCCTTGTTAGTATTGATGTTCATCAGTGTCGCCTGTACCATTGTGATTATGTGTTCTATGTAAACCTTCAGTGTTTGTTCCTCAGTGCTGGTTCGTCTTGTTAACAGTTGGTTCTGTGAGTACTGTGATCTGTCTGTGAATGTCCCAGTTCCCTTTCGTAGTCACTTCGAGTTACGTCAGAAGTGACGGAGATTGGGGGTTTCGCATAGAAAGCCAATCCTCTTGAGTATTTAAAAACGAGCCAATGGCATGCAATGCCTTGGGGCTGCGGAAATTTGCATAGCGTACTCCGCCCTACTCCGTGAGTATAAAAGGAGGAAGTGAACGCAACCGCAGTATGTTTTCGCTTCGGAGCCAAGAGAACCTCTTCACTCCTAAAAGCTAATTCAAGACTCTTCGAGAACGAGCGTCCTCTTCAGTGTTGGTGTGACGGCGGTACCCAGCGAGATTCTGCATCGCCTGCGATCTGAGCAGTGGTCTGCCAGACTTTGCACTTCTCCCTGGTAGCCTCAGCGCTGAAAGAGTGAATTTCTCCCTTCTCACAAAAAGTGAAAGAGCTGCACGTGGCACGTCTTTTTAAAGATGGTTCGCCCGTGTCCTTCTGGATGTGGTAGATTTCTGTCGTCAGACCTCTTCGGCGGCGCCGGCTGCTTCGGGCAGCGCTCCAGATGATGATGTAATGTCTATCACAGCATCACTAGGCGGGCTAGAGTCCTCGGGAGATGAGGATGCGGCTGCGTTGCCTCCTTCCGGGGTGCCAGCGTTGTCCGCATCGGATCCCGAGCTGACGGCCATGCTGTCTCGAGCCGCTGGGAGTATCGGGCTAGAATGGAAACCTCCATCCTGCCCCGATCTCTCACGGATGGATAACTGGTATTTGGACAAAGCTGCCGCCGCAAGGCCACGGCCAACTCCAATACCTTTTTTCCCCGAGCTGCATGCGGAGTTATCGCGCTCTTGGGGGTCTCCTCTGTCCACCCGAGAGCGCGATCTCTCCCCCGCCTTTCCCCCCCTCGATGGTGGGGCCGCCCGTGGGTACACTGGGATGCCCCCGGTGGAGCGCTCTGTTGCGATGCAGCTGTGTCCACAGAGCGCCTCCTCCCGTGGTCCTCCTAAGCACCCATCCAAAGCCTGTGGGTTCTCGTCTGCTATGGCGGCGCGTTCCTATAGAGCGGCGGGACAGGCGGCCTCCGCTTTGCACGCCCTGAGCACTTTGCAGGTCTTCCAAGCGAAGATGCTCAGAGACATGCACGAGGGTGGGACTGATCCGACGGCATTTAAAGATTTGCGGTCCGCCACTGACCTTGCTCTCCGGGCAACGAAAGTGGCCGCTCGCGCCGTTGGTCAGGTGATGGCCACCAGTGTGGTCCACGAGTGGGCAGCACCCTGAGTTTGTTAAAGAAAGACTTGACATCATCACTGAGCCCACAGACTGGAGTGGGTGCGCTCGACGTCCCAGTGCGTCAGCCCACACACTCCTCTCTGTCTCGGAGGGCGCGGAAGGGTGCGTGTGTCGTCCCCGGGCTACGCCAATCCCTTCCCCCTCTGTCGCCAGACCCCCGGCAGAACAGACCCCCGTGGAACGCTCTGCCTTCCCTGGTCCCTTCTGTCGGGGAGCGGGCTTCGACGGTGCATCCGGGCGGGGTAACTCCTGCACGCATGCCGGTCGACCCGCCTCGCTGCCCCTCCGGGGGGACGTCTATGGTTCGTATGACCCCGCTGGCTCACTTCCTGGAAGCCTGGCTAGCGCTTCCTGGGCTGTCCCGCTGGGTCATCAGAACGATCAGATTCGGCTACGCGATTCAGTTCGCACGGTCTCCTCCCTGTTTCAGGGGAGTTCGCTCCACGATGGTCGGTGGCAATACCCCGGTCATGAGAGCGGAGATTGCGACCCTGCTGGCGAAGGGTGCAATCGAGACGGTCCCTCCAGCCGAGATGAGGTCCGGGTTTTACAGCCCCTACTTCATTGTCCCCAAAAAGACCGGTGGGTTACGACCGATCCTGGACCTGCGCATTTTGAACCGTTCTCTCCATCGACTACCGTTCAAAATGCTCACAGCCAAACGCATTCTCGAATGCGTTCGGTCTCAGGATTGGTTTGCAGCGATCGACCTGAAGGACGCGTACTTTCATGTCTCCATCTTGCCTCGACACAGACCGTTTCTTCGGTTTGCTTTCGAGGGCCAGGCATATCAGTACACGGTTCTCCCATTCGGGTTAGCTCTGTCCCCTCGCGTCTTCACGAAGATCGTCGAGGCAGCCCTTGTTCCCCTTCGCGAGCACGGGGTTCGCATCCTGAACTATCTCGACGACTGGCTGATACTGGCTCACTCTCGAGCTCAGGTTTGCGAACACAGAGACCTGGTGCTCCGGCAC